TTACCATAAGTAGCAGATACTGTCTACTACAAATCCACGCAACCGCGAGCTCAAAACATGCTTTCGTTATTTTGTAATAGATGGCGCACTAAGAGCCCAAATCCAGAAAACCGTGAATTTTGCTGCAACACCCATTTGAAACAAAGTGGATCGTGAGACTTTCCACCATATTTCCAAATAGATTATATGCCAAAGTGTATCTGATAAATGTTTGACGGTCTCCGATGCTTTCGTTTTCAATACAGACGTCTTGAAAGTTGTTGGGTTTCGCTAAAATAGCTTATGGGGCACGGTCGGGGGCACCGTTCTAGAGGCTTGCTTCAATCAGTACATTTCTGCTATAGTATATTTAAATTTCAATAAAAATCAGTTTGATATGCAACTTTTCACAAGGAATTCAACGGTAATACAACAACAAGTTAATTCTGTTATTAACGTGGTTCAATGTGCGAGTTTCACCGAGAGTACTTCCAATAGGTTCACTTCTGATGGATTTTCATATGCCGATCAGTGGTTTTTGAATAACTGAAGAACGAAAAGCGATAGAGACTTCTGATTTTTGCGGTTAGATAGCCAAGACTTTAAATTATCTTTTTATAACTAAAATAAAGCTGAAAGTACTTCTCAGTGACCGGTTTTCTAGGAGATCTCTAGAAAACCGTTGGCAACAGTGGCAACTGGCACACAGTGGCTTCTAGTGACCTTGAAAGAAGAAGATAAGTACATAGTCGAGCATGCTAAATCTGATGGCAGCGTTTATTTTATCTTACTTTACGTTAGTCTGTCTCTTTCAAGGTCATTGGAAGCCACTGTGTACCAGTCCTGATGCTCCATAGAAATCAGATACCACTGCCAGATCACTCAAAATCAAAGTCTCGCTTGGCTCCCATTCTGAAGAGGACAGTTTAGGCTAGTTACTCACAAAAAAAACCAATCTATTGCTACTTTATGGCTTAGAGTTACAAAACGGTTTTCTAGAGATCTTGAAAAAACATCTTTTCAAGGCTCTTTGTGAGATTTTGAGCGAGTTTTTTAGGCCGAGAACTAAAAAAAACAGCGAAAAACCGGTTTTTCTCTGTACACATTTCCGTACAGAAAATTCGTGTTTTTTTTCTTTTTGTTCTGTTTTCATACATGTTTCTTCAGTGCTTTAAGGTTAAAAAATTTACCTAACCGAAGTACTTGTGTTGCCAAAGAATGCGGTAAAACTCTTGATCTTTCAAAGAATGCTACGTTTCAGAATATTTCAACTGCTTCTTACAAGTGGCTACGTGACAGGCTTGTGTCTGCAGGATCAGTTTTTGCCGATGATGAGTCAGCGTTTTTGTGTAAAGCATGTGAAGCGAAATATCGCATGGATCAAAAAGACATCGACGAACAAAATGTATCAATGTTTAAAAATTCATTATCAGTAGTTTCGAATCCAATTGTTCGAACTAAAAAATGTTTTCAGGTTCCAATGCAAGTGAATTTTTGTTGCTTCTGCCAAGTGCATTTATCAAACAGTTCCGTCGTCATACCTTCTGTGGCTCGTTTAGATTTATTTGTCGAACATGACGCCTATGTTCATCCACAACAAAAGGGTTGTTTTCATCATTTGAAAGGCACACGTTTAGATCCAGATATTATTACTGATACCAGTCAATATGAGCCAGCAATTCTTACTAGTGAAGAAGCTGCCGATTTACTATTTCAATTGAAAAATGAAATAAAGAGCAAGCGAAATCGCTCACTGCTTGACAATCCATTGATGGATAATGAAGATTTAAAAACATGGACAGGCTGGGAAAAGTCTAATTTATTGGCAATGCAAAGAACAGTTTTAGATTCAAAAGCAATGAGAGATAGTCAACATCGCACTATCTCAGATGCTTTAATTATGTTTTGGGTGAAATTGAAAACTAACTTGGCCTATGGTCAAACTGGAACACTTTTTAATTACGATTTAAGCGCTGAGGATCGAGGAAAACGTGTCGCGGAATCCTGTGATGCGATAATGGATGTTTTGCGTAAATATTTTGTTCCGAACTACTTAGGTTTTAGTCATTTAACTGAACGACAGGCATTCGCACATGACACGACCTACTCAAAAATTTTTTTGGAGATGGAGTAAAAATAAGATTAGATGGCACTTACCTAATGGTGAATAAAAGTAGTGATCACGTTTTATAAAAAAAGATCTACTCTGGTCAAAAGAAAGGACATCTAGTGAAAATGACGTCAGCCACTTTACCAGACGGATACGTGCTAACAACTGAAGGACCATTCCCGGGATCTAAAAATGATGCACAAATTGCAGAATATATGTTGAAACATAATACTGAATTACAACAGTGGTGCAAGCCAGGAAGTTGTGCAATTTTTGACCGGGGTTTCGATCGTGTCAGAGAACTTTTCGGAAAAATGGGTCTTACTGTTGCTGGCATTTTTGAAATCTAAACAACATTCAGCAGACGAAGCAAATCATGCTCGTCTGATTACTAAAGTTCGTTGCGGCGTAGAGATGTAATATGGTCGGATGAAGAAATTTTTGTCTTTTTATCAAACGATCCCGAACTCTTTATTTGAAAAAATTGCACCATGTGTACACATAGTCACCGCAGCATTAAATGCTTTTCGTCCACCACTCTATACACCGATTGTTCCGGAGAAAGTAAAGAAACTGCCAAAAACCATGAAAATTCGAGCTGAATCAGTGAATAAACTAAAAGAACAAGTCTTGAAAAAACCTTTCAATTCTAGGTGCAAATGGGACAAATTGGATGAGACTCAAACTGATTTTCCAAGGATGACAGAGGAGCAGCTGCGACAACTTTGCTTTGGAGTCTATCAAATTAAACAAGCGAGAACGTATTCAGAAGCACATTTGAATAAGAATGACGGGGATTACGAAGTCGAACTAACAAAAGAAAATGAAACACTAATCCGATGTAAAATAGATTCTCGTCATTCTAATTCCACTCAATATTATTGTTGGATTGAGTTCGCAATGGATGAAATTGTAACTAGCGGGTCCGACAGTGACAATGATGACGACACATTAGTGGAAAAGTTCCACGAGAAACAACCAATCAAATCATGGTACTGCCAGTGTCCCGCTGGTGAACAGACTTGTGGGTGCTGTGTCCATGTGACTTGCGTTTTATGGTTTTTAGGCTACGCTCGACATCATCAGTTTACACCATCAGCATACAAGCAACGATATCGTGAGACACTTGTCGGAATGGACACTAGCTGATCCTGTGTAACACAACACACAAGCACGAAAATTTAAAACCCAACAGCCCTCCTAAGGGCTATATTTTGTAATAATGTTTTCTGGTGAATAAAGTTTATTGTAAAATAAACATCATTAAAAAGAGTTAGCGTTACATTTTAACCTTATTTTCTACGTTTGGTGTTTTAAGAGCACAACATTTTTTTGAATAGAGATATACAATAAGCTCTGCTTGGTGAGAGAATGGTTTAGAAATGCATATTTTTGTAATTCAGACGTAAAATGAGCGAAAAAAGATGGAAAAAACGTTTTTTAAAATAGTCGAAAATTACTATAATTTTTCACTAAATCGATTCTGTAGGCCACAGACATAGGAATTCGAGTTTGAAAAAAAGTAATTTTTATTGCTCTACTCGCCAGCATGTTTTTCACAAAAAATCTTTTTGGATGAGCTAATACTCAAAAAGTACAAGTCATATCTTTTCGAACAGTCAACATTTCTATAAAAAGTTTAACGCACATTATTTTGACTGGTAGAAAATCGTGAAAAAAAGTTTTCATCGTACGTTTTCGAAAAGCAGAGGGCTGACAAAAATTCTGAAACGACAGCAAAATTCGCCTTCCATTACTCTACAATACTGGAGAATATGAGCTCAAACGGAGCTGTTTTTCTCAACCGGAGGGATCCTTTATTCTTTTCCTAAAAGAATATCGGTAGAGATCTGCATGTGGATATGATAATACGATCAAAAGAAGTACAGTTACAAAGTATAAACCAAATTAGATTGGTTGGGTTAACATAAAACAAAACATTTGTATATTCTAAACATACACCGAATTTTTAAGTTTTTACGAAATAAAAGAAGGAGAAAGAGATTTATCTATATCTATACGTAGAGAAAATCGCTGCGTAGAATGTAGTCTATGTTCTCCGCATTTTATTATTTTTGACGTCATCACTAAAGATTACTCGTTACAATATCAGAGCGATTAGAATAATATCTTCTTTTATGTTGCAATATTGAGTCCTTTCTGAAATAGAGAATATAAACCTTATGTTTAAGGTAATTATCGTTTCGCTCATACCATAACTGTATCAGCACCGGAAAGAACTGCTTCCTGGATGTCTACATTCATTGTCGATCGTGAGTCGAGAATTGGGCGAGCATATTTATTAGAACTGATTTAATGGTGGGTAAAACCACAAGGACAATGTTTTTGCCAAAATGGGTTTCGACACTCTATGCAGCCTCATATAAAAAAACTATTATGTGTGCCCTGTAAATGTACTGAAATAACTTGGGACATAATGCCCAAATTGTGGCGCGAAATTATACTAATAAAACGCAACGACTAAAGCAACTTTAAGGGCCAGAAAAATTGTCAAACTATGGTTATCGTGTTAGATGTCAAATCGAAAGACGTTGAACATACATAGTAAATATAACAGAATCTCCTCTTTTACGCTTATTCATTTCATTGTCCGTGCAAGTGAAAGGTTGAATATGGAAAGGGTACAACAGTATGTTATTGAGTTGTATAACTTTTGTTATTGAGTGAAGGCTGAATTATTGAGTTAAACCATAATCATGGAAAAGTAGCATTCCCGCTTTATTTCGCACGAAGCTTGCAGCTACATCTTACTGCGATCTTGATAAGGATTTTGAAATTTTTAGGATGATGACGCCTGTTCTTGATCTCTTTCCTGTGTAACAAGAATTTCATTTGGCGATGTCGTGGTGAGATTCCGCAGAAGTCGTGATAAGATTGAAACTAGATCTCGTTTCAAGTGAAAGCAGCTTAACGGCTTCGTCGCACGCTCGTGCCATGATTCATGCACTATCAAAATTTGGTTGCGTTTGGGCTAAGTTAACTTTTACGCGGTATGTCCGTTTTGTTATTTTGTTTAGGCAGTTGTATTCTGTTGATTTCTTCATGGTTTACTCGGGCTTTTGGTCGAAAACATGATGCAATCAGCTTTTGAACTTTTTGTCTATTATCGGGCTTTTACTTTATATATTCTTTACTTACAAAGGACATTTTTGACTTCGAATAGTTCAACGTTAGTAAACAGTAAATGCATCTTTCTGCTGCTATCATAGCAAAACAGGTCATTTTCTGGGTGATTTACAAGGGTACAGAATATATTATTCGATTCAGATTTTTACTTGGATGTCAAATATGCTACTCTATTTCCTGGCAAACTCTTAGCTCTCGAAAAGGAAAGGAAAAAGTGTTTTTACGTGGAATCTATCACCTGGTTTCCTTTCTACTCTCCGTTCTTAATTTATTTTTTCTCTGATTTCTCTAATTTTTATCTATTGTCGAAATGAACAAAAAGAACTGAAAGAGAATATTCGTATACAGTTTGTATTGAACATAACTACACTTTAGTGTGATTGTCTATCAGGTTAAAGAGTAACTGTTCAACCTAAGAACAATCGCTCACGATAAATTGAATGCATAACTCATCAAATTGACGGATTAAAATACCGCTTAGTTAGAGTAAATATATTCATTTATTACGCGAACTTTAAGTACAGTAGTTGAACATTGTGCTGAGGTGTTTTTCAATAGCAGGTAACACCGTTTTATTAAGAAAAATATTGCTGACTATGTTACTGTTAAACCTACAAAAAGATTCTAATTTTCGTTTGTAATTGTGTGAGTTATTCAATCAGCTATGAAAAGTTTTAAATTTGAAGTTAAATGCTGATAATCAATTTTAAAACAACATTTTTCGACTACCATGACCTTCTGGTTTTCTCTTGGGACCATGGGAGCCACGTCATATAATTTATTATTTTTCAAGATCAAAAGATATAAACGATACATAACAAATGTTTTAGAAAACTAAGAAAACATAATTTAATTTACTTTACGGCTTCTTTCAGCACGAAGTATTTTCATGTACAATGAAAAATGTCCAGTAACTTTGAATTGATCACCATTTTCTGTTTCACAATTAACGGACTTGGCTTTTCTAACTTTACATTCAAAATCAGAAGCGTACCATACTTTGTCGTTATATTTTCCAAAGACTAAATTTTCAACAATATTTAGGCTTGTAAAAAAATTCATTTGTGCTGTATGTTCATTTGTCCAATCAATTTCAGATAATTATATTCATTTATTGATACTTCCATATAATGCTGATGTTCTTTAGCGCGTCGACAACCTGGTTTTAAACCTATCGCGAAGAACGCTTGTGACGAATGACCTAAGCGTTGCTCAAATACATGTATACATAACGTGTTTATACATTTGTAGTTTAGTTAAAAAAATAAATGGTTGTTTAGAAAATATAGTGTTATAAACCGGTAGCTTCAATAACGTCCACTTATTTTAGTGGGAGATTTTAATGTAAATACAGCCGCACCACCTGGTGGACTACAACAAATACTAGAATTGTTTTCGATTCGACGTGCTTTTAGTGTATCAACCACTCATAAAAATACGAAAATCGATAATGTTTTTTATTCTAATGAGTGGGAGCAGCCTAGCACTAAAGTCTTTCCTGAATTAGGAAAATCACCACATTTTTTGCTAGAGGCAAAAT